GCCGATCTGTTACGGTGTTGTTTTGGGGTCTTCAGGAGCCGATCTGTTACGGCAGTGTTTGTGTTACTTCAGGAGCCGATCTGTTACGGCATGGTTTTGTGTACTTCAGGAGCCGATCTGTTACGGCATGGTTTTTAGTACTTCAGGAGCCGATCTGTTACGGCATGGTTTCGTGGGATTCCAGACATTTTGCCTTGAGCCACGACTGTTACAGTGGTGTGGGATTGGCCTTGAACCACGAAGGATTGGCCTTGAACCACGAAGGATTGGCCTTGAACCACGAAGGATAGGCCCACGAACGGTTGGCCTTGAACCACGAACGGTTGGTCTTGAACCACGAACGGTTGGCCTTGAACCACGAACGGTTGGCCTTGAACCACGAACGATTGGCCTTGAACCACGAAGGGTTGGCCTTGAACCACGAACGGTTGGCCTTGAACCACGAAGGGTTGGCCTTGAACCACGAAGGGTTGGCCTTGAACCACGCAGGGTTGGCCTTGAACCACGAAGAGTTGGCCTTGAACCACGATCGAACATGCTATTATGCTGAGTTTGTTGTCCAACCTTCAAAAGCATCCCGCCGCCATAACATCAAAGCCCTCCTGCCGTGCAGCAGCAAAGTACAGCGCCGTCTGCCCGCACCTCACGGAACGAGGAGACGGCAACGAACGCCAGCATATAAACAAGCTTTGCAGTAGCGGTACTAAGGCACATCCTAAGCGAATGCTGCCGAAGCGCAGCTTCCACTTTGGGTCCACCGTTGCGGCAGCGATCCAGGCTTCCTCCTCCCGACGCCGCAATCCGCGGTGCAGAAGACCGAGAAGTCCATATGAAAGTGGTAAACATGAAGATCGCACTTTGCAGCGTGCTGCAAGCAACGTGCATAATGCTTAGTGGCAACCAAACCAAAGATGGATGATGATGATGATGATGAGAAGGAGGAGGATGATGATGCAGATGAGGATGATGATGCAGATGATGATGCAGATGATGACGATGATGATGATGATGACGGTGATGACGATGACGCTGCTGCTGATGCGTATGACACTGACGATGCTGACGATGTTGGTGATGATGGTGATGATGACGACGATGCTGATGCTACTGATGCTGATGATGCTTATGACGGTGGTGATGATGATGATGAAGAAGAAGAAGAAGCCGGTGATGATCATGGTCATGGTGATGTTGATAGTCATGATGAAGATGACGACGATGAAGATGGTGAAGACGATAAGCATAATAGTAATGTTAATACATAATGTGTCTTGCATGATGTTGATAGCTGTTGTTGATTTTGGTTTTGACTGTGACGTTTATGATGATGTTGATGTTGATGCTGCTGATGATGTTGCTGCTAATGCTGCTGCTGCCAATGCTGCTACTAATGCTGCTGCTACTGCTGCTCTGCTACTAGCACTACTGCTACTGCTGCTACTGCTACTGCTGCCGCTACTGCTACCCTAATGCTGCTTCTGCTGCTGCTGCTGCTGCTGCTAGTGCTGCTGCTAATGCAGCTGCTACTGCTGCTGCTGCTCCTAATGCTGCTGTTACTGCTACTGCTACTGCTGCTGCTAAAGCTGCTGCCAATGCTAATGCTGCCAATGCTAATGCTGCCACTGATGCTGCCGCGAATGTTGCTGCTAATGCTGCCGCTGCTGCTGCTGCTGCTGCTGCTGCTGCTGCTGCTGCTGCTGCTGCTGCTGTTGCTGCTGCTGCCCCCGCCGCCGCAGTGAAGATGGTGGATTTCGGCTGAGCCCTGCAACTCAGTAGAGTAAACCTAAGCATCTTCACTAATATTTGTACCGCCATTCCCGAGAGTGCCCCAGAAGTTGTTTCAGAAAGTCTGGTGCCAAGACCAAAGAACTGTTATGTAGGCATGTTTCCCCTCCCCACTTCCCGGCTCCGGTGTGCCGTCGCGGATATTGATGAGGAGTCGAGCTTCCTGTCAAGACTGCTTCAAGGATTGAGACGTTTGACTACGGTCCAGACTACTTTAGAAGTCTGCCTTCTTGACTTTTTCTAGAGCAAGCCAGTGCAAAGCTCAACTCTCGCACAGAAAGCTCTAATGTAGGGTCTTGCAAATAGGATACTTGTACTGAGGAACCCTGCGAAATACTGTTTATTCAGTATTCACGCCCCTACAGTAAGCAAGACGATGCAAAGCTCAGCGAACCGGATCCTGGCGCTTTGCTCCACCCTTCCTTGCGGCCACCATCCAGGGAGGAGGGCTCTTCTTCGTCTTTTTCGGCTTCCGGATCGCCATGAGCACTCCGGAGCCGCTCGCCGAGCTTCAGGGTGTAGGGTTTCGGGATGATTCCTTGTTGATTGGAAAAGGGTTCGAAGGGAAATCCAGGATATTTGGTAAGGAATAGGTCCAGTAATTCTTCAAACACTTATAACCTATAATAGTAGGTTTGGGTTCTAGGGTAGTAAGGCCATTGGCGCACAAATCTGAACACAGAAAGGGAAGCTGCTGCTTTTCCGGCTGCGTAGGGTTTAGGGTTTAGGGTTTAGGGTTTAGGGTTTAGGGTTTACTCCTAAACCCTAAATCCGAAGTGCTTTCAAACGGCTCTGGCTTGCTTGGGAAGCATGCAGCGGCCACGGACAAGATGCAGGCAGCGGCAGACAGGGCTAGATTTCCGGCTTTCGATGAGTCGTGGAGCAAAGAGGGGTAATATGGGGACCTGGGTAACAAGCAACACTATCCACCTGTAGATAAACAGCTCCTCAAGCCCCAAAACCCTAAAAAACCCTTAACCCTGAAGCCCTAACACCCTAAACCCTAAAACCCTTAAAGCCGCCAGACCCTCAAACGTTAACCCCTGAAGCCTTGAACCCTAAACCCTTAAACCCCTAAACCCTGAACTGTTTAAGGTTTAAGGCTTGCAGGGTTTGGGGTTTAGGGTTTCTGTTCAGGTTTTGGGGTTCAGGGCTTGGGGCCGAGCGTGAGTCTATGTCAAGAGTCTACGCATACTGTTTCAAGCGCCGTAGAGCTGCATAGCCTGCCATAGTAACACCTACACCAGGAGACCCGGCTGAAGCAAGAACGGGGGCTGCAAAAATCCCTAAACCCTAAACCCCTAAACCCCAAGGTTAACAACGTACAGCAACTCGCAACCGGAGCTGAAAACCCCCTGGTTGGCCCGACTCGAAGGCTTCAACATGCATTCTTCGCAGTCAGAAAAACTTTTGGCCCCAAAACCCTGAAACTCACAAACCCCTAAACCCCTAAACCCTAAACCCCTAAACCCCTAAAGCCCTAAACCGAACTATGAAGGCCCCTATACCCTGAACCTCAAACCCGAAGACCCGAAAACCGAAAAGACTCTCCGTCAATCCTCAAGGTCGCGGGTTCAGGCCCCTGCGGGCCAAAGGTTTATTAAGCCTCAAGTTGGCCTTCTTTCCAGAGCTTTGGGGTTGGATATAGGGGCCTTCATAGTTCGGTTTAGGGCTTTAGGGGTTTAGGGGTTTAGGGTTTAGGGGTTTAGGGGTTCAGGGGTTTAGGGTTGAGGGTTTTGACTAGGGTTTGGACGGAGAGTATCTCATAGCTCGTCGATGCTGAGGAACCCTCACATATTATAATATAGTACTGCTGTTATCGAGGCTCCTGTATATTAGCGCTTTAGGGCTCTCGGGTTTTTGTCGTTTCGTGAGTTTAAGAAGTGGAGGCCTCAAAAGGTGGGATGAAAACCCTAAACCCTAAGCAACCCTAAACCCCAAACCCTTAACCCTAAACCCTAAACAA